TACTAATAAATACTAATAATAAATACCAATAATGAATAATAAATACATACTAATAAATACTAATAATAAATACTAATAAATAATAAAAATAAATACATACTAATAAATACTAATAATAAATACTAATAATAAATAATAAATACATACTAATAAATACTAATAATAAATAATAAATACATACTAATAAATACTAATAATAAATAATAAAAATAAATACATACTAATAAATACTAATAATAAATACTAATAATAAATACCAATAATGAATAATAAATACATACTAATAATAAATACTAATAATAAATACTAATAATAAATAATAAAAATAAATACATACTAAGAAATACTAATAATAAATAATAAAAATAAATACATTATATCCCCCCCCCCTCTATTCTTACCTGTAGTCTGGAAGGTGGGGGGTGGGGGGGGTCGTGCTGCTGCCAGCCATCCCTGGTGGTCCTCGTGGTTAGTGAACTCTAGCCCTTTGGGGCTAGAGTTCACTCTCGCGAGACCCGGCCGGTTGCCATAGCAACGGTCCGGATCTCGCGAGTGAAACCCGGCGGAGCTGCAAGTTAGAGCTCCGCCGGGTCCTCTCTCCTGGCGGCTGGCTCCCCCCCCCCTCTCTCCCCGCCGGCGGCCGCGTTTGAGTACATGTGGGCCGGTGAGGGAGATCTTTGATCTCCCCACCGGCCCTCCATGGAATACAGCGGGGCCGGCGCTCGGATAGCGCCGGCCCTGCATAGACCGGCAGGGGAGATCCTGTGATCTCCCCTGCCGGCCTCGGCCCATGGACACCGCGGCCCACCGGGCATTTGCCCGGTATGCCCGATGGCCAGTCCGGGCCTGGTTGGGAGGTAGAGAAAGATCAAAAAGATCAGCAAGCAGCCAAAAGGAGAACACATGTGCCTCTGAAATGGTCATAGCTCACCTGTCTTAATATGCTTTACCTCCTACTAATAAGCCTCAGCTACTGGAATTAGAAGAAGAGTGGGTAAGGTTGACAAGCAGGACTTCTCATGCTCACCAATCACTGTCCAAAGTGAGCATGTATTTTCAGTAACAGTGAACGTTCTGAATCCACAATGCTCACAAACGTCACAACAGCTGATGGAGCAAATAGCCTCAAGTTAAATCTCCTCAAGCTGGTTTACCCTGCTCTTCTGATTTTATAGTTGAGTTGTCATCATCATAGCTGAAATCCAATTCACCACTCTCCCTTCCAGATTACATAGTTACATAGGCTAAAAAGACATATGTGTGCATCAAGTTCAGCCTTTCTCACATGTTTTTGCTGTTGATCCAAAAGAATGCAAAAAACTCAATTTGGATCTCAATTTTGCAACATACTAGTAAAATTGTCCTTCATGACCCCAGAATGGTAGTGAGATCTCCCCGAATTACGAAGCTATTACTCCACTAATTAAAATGTATATCCCTGAATATTATGTTTTTGCAAGTATTCATCCAGTTGTTGTTTAAACATCTGTACAGACCCTGATAAAACCACCTCTTCGGGCATAGAATTTCATGTCCTTTTTTGTTTTTACTGTAAATAACCATTTAATTTGCCTTAGACTAAATCTCCTTTATTCCAGTCTAAATGCATGACCTTGTTTTCCATGTATAGCCCTGTTGATAATTAGATATCTAGACAATGGTTTTGTATTAAAAATACTAAAAAAACACACAAGTAATATTATGGCGCTGGATCAATTAATAATAATATGTAATAAGCAGCACTATATACAGTGAAAAAGCTCAATCATATGTGACTATACAAAACCAGAAAAGTAAAGTGTACTGTGTACAAAGAGAGAAAGAAAAAAAGTCTGCTGTGCCTTTAAGTGATTTATATATACATCTTTGTGCGTATTATTATACAAAAAATCCAAAGTGTAAAATCACGTTGTCAGACACACGACGCACGACGTCAGGACGCACGGTGATAGCTCGTATCCTCTTGGAGACCTGTGCCGCGTTCCAGTGCCTGAACACATTGCAGGAGCTTGTTAGAGGGTCTGAGGACTGGTCATACAGGAACGGAGCTGACGTGATTTTAATTTTCTACTGCTGTGAATAAGAGTTTGAAACGCATCCAAGTTGCTGTCCTGTTTATACAGTTGTGGTCCTGCATTCTGTATTATCTGGGCTATTATAGTGAGAGCAGACTTCTACTGCTCCGCATTTGTGAGTTGATTGGTTTACTTTTTTTATATACTTTTATGTAAATATTTACAGATTTACACTATGTGCATTTTTTTCTTTTTTTATCTCCCACATTTTGTGCTCTGAGTCATTCAGTATTTGAAAAAAAAAAAAAAAAAGGTATTTTTATGTAAGTGTTCTCTCTTCTGCACTTTATTGTATCACTTGGTCACTTTTTTGATACATGATATAGTGTATTACGATTTTACACTTTGGATTTTTTGTATAATAATACGCATAAAGATGTATATATAAATCATTTAAAGGCACAGCACACTTTTTTCTTTCTCTATTTGTATACAGAGTGTTTTTTGAGCTATTTTACACTTAATTAGTGCTGCTTGACTTTTATGGTATTTTATTTTAATTTGTAAATAATTCACAAGTGCCTTTCTTTATTTGATTTTTTTTTGCACTTTAAAGTGCACTGTGCCTTTAAGACCGAAAGGAGTTTTTTAAACAAGTGGGAATAATATGTGCAATATTATATAGCAAAAAAAGTTACCAAGTGCATTTGTGCAAAAACCACACTTGTAAATGTATACAAAGATAGTGCAATTTACAATAAAAAAAATAAAAAAAAATTATTGAAAATTGCACTATCTTTGAATACAAGTGTGTTTTTTGCACAAATGCACTTGGTCACTTTTTTTGCTATATAATATTGCACATATTATTCCCACTTGTTTAAAAAACTCCTTTCGAACATAATGGTTTTGTACTGGTCCTGAATATATTTGTATAATGCATATCCCCTCTGAGGCGCTGTTTTTCTAAACTAAACTGATCTTGAGAATGAATGTTCTTCAACATACAACATACCTTACTGGCCTTAGGAACTGCTGATTGACATTGCACATTTTTGCCTAGTTTGTTGTCTACAACAGTTCCTAAATAATTCTCGTGTGCCGTTATCCCTAATTGACTATTGTTAAGCATGTAAGTTGCTTGTGCATTCTTTACCCCAAAGTCCTAACTCTGATATGTCAGTCCAGTGCTTCTCTGCTTTTTATAGGGAAGCAATACTTTTCATGCTGACATTGAATATCAAATAGATCCAATACCTGAATCTAATTGTGTTGCAGGACTGTAGTGATAACCTGTTTGACAACCACTAGTAGGTATGGAAATTGTAAAAAGTAAACATCTGTTTTTCAGAAACTTAATTGTATTGTTTTCATTTGCATGGCCTCATAGGCAGCATCTATGCCCCAAAATCACTTTATAGAATTGGTGCTTTGACTTTTCCAATAAACTTTTGTTTATTTTTTAGGATAAGTCACATGGACATTTATTTTTTCATGTGCATATTGTATAACTTACAATTATGACTTACCAGCTACTTTTTTGGTTGAAAACGTATAGTCATCATCTTGCATGGAAGCACCAGGAACAAGCTGTGCACGGTTGTTGTGAGTATGTGAGAGACCAATCTGGGGAAGCAGTGGGGATGTCAAATCCATGTTATTAAAATTTGTATGATCTGTTGGGAAGGAAGAGATCAACATAAATATCTAAAAATATAATGAAACAGCAACAATGGGTGTAACAAACCTGTTCTAATTGAGAGGTAAAAAAGGAAAATAAAGGATACATTTCCATAACTTTTAAAGTGTTACTCCAACCAAAAAACTGTTTTAATAAGACTCTACTGTGTTAAGAGTTGAAGCTCACCAATTAGAGCTTTGCTCTACTAGCTCAGCGGAGGATCTTTCAACTTCACAGAAGGAAACAACGGCCTCTGGTGGACTTCAGGTAAGTTGTGAAAGATTCTTAAATGGTTTGACTACTAACCTTGGGAGGGCACCACAGTGGCAATATATCCACAACAGGAGCTGTAGTTGTTATGGAGCATGGAGTGTCCCTTTAATGAGTATCAGGAAAAGGTAGATATGTTAAATACATTGAATTCTTCAATATACAACAAGAAAGAAAGAAAAGTTGCATATAAGCCAACCACTGTTGCTAAACTGTTGGAGCAAACATGTAATACGCTGACACAGGATAAAGAATTTAAAAAATAAGTAAAATTAATGTAAATAAAACGAGATGGTATTCACCGAGTACTATTGGCTGATGTAGTGATTATGATGGTGAGGCACCGAGTCTTCTCTCCTGCTAGCTTATGACATCTGGCTTCTGCAGAGCTGCAGAAGTTGGTTGTTGATAGACATGTGCAATTCATTTCGGTCCGAATATGAATTCGGACGAATTTCGGTCAATTTGGACATCCGGGTACTTCCGAATGTCCGAATTGCCGAGGTTCCGAAATTACTGAATTTAAGTGTCGAAGTGCCGAAGTGTCAAAGTGCCGAAGTTCCGAAGCACAGTATTGCCTAAGTACTAATATACTTACCCAGTGAAAGAAGAAGAATGTTCCATTCTATACAATTTTAAATAAAAAGTATACAAACATAGCTAGGATTCCGCTGTAAGCATTTGCAACACTTACAACAATCAAGTAACATACATTTATATAAAATTTAAGTTACTTGGCCAGTCAATGTAATGACAGGAATGAATAAGTAGATAACTCCCTAATTCCCACGGTATTAGGGAGCTATCTACTAAAAGGCTGAAAGACCTAAATTGGTCTTTCAGCCACATTTACTAATACTAAGTAAAGATTACTCTAATATTAGTCAATTTTGCCCCTCACTTAGAGGTCAAGAAAGACAAACAAAACAGTGGGAACAGCCCCCACCCGGGCCAGGGTGGGGCCCCCTAGAGGGGACCTTTTTTTTTACATTTTGTTTTGTTTGTCTTGCTAATGTCTTTACTAATGTAAAATAATGGGGGGGGACCTATTGTCCACCCCCGGGCCCCCACCCCTGAGCGGCGGGTGGGGGCCCTAAATCAGAATAAGGGGGGCCTAATGTCTTCCCCCTGGCCCCCACTCCAGAGCGGTGGGTGGGGGCCCTAAATACTAATAAGGGGGGGACCTAATGTCCTCCCCTTGGCCCCCACCCCTGAGCCATGGGTGGGGGCCCTAAATACCAATAAGGAGGGGACCTAATGTCCTCCCCCTGGCCCCCACTCCAGAGCAGTGGGTGGGGGCCCTAAATACTAATAAGGGGGGGACCTAATGTCCTCCCCTTGGCCCCCACCCCTGAGCCATGGGTGGGGGCCCTAAATACCAATAAGGGGGGGACCTAATGTCCTCCCCCCTGGCCCCCACCCTTGAGCAGCGGATGGGGTCTCTAAATTGGAATAGGGGGGGACCTAATGTCCTCCCCCCTGACCCCCATCCTTGAGCGGCGGTTAGAGGCCCAAAATACTAATAAGGGGGGACCTAATGTCCTCCCCCCTGGCCCCCACTCCTGAGCGGTGGGTGGGGGCCCTAAATACTAATAATGGGGGAAGGGACATTAGGTCCCCCTGTATTCCAATTTAGGGCCCCCACCCGCCGCTCAGGGGTGGGGCCAGGGGGGAGGACATTAGGTCCCCCCTTATTAGTATTTTGGGCCCCCACCCGCCGCTCAATTAGGTTCCCCCCCCCTTATTTTACTGTAGGGCCCCCACCTGCTACTCAGGGGTGGGGGCCAGGGGGGAGAACAATAGGTCCCCCCCCCCCATCATTTTACATTTTAAAAGCCCCCACTCGCATGTTGCGGGTGGGGGCTCGGGAGGGGGGACCCTATTGTTTTTTTGTTTTGTTAACAGTGAGCAGCTAGAGGCTGCTCACTGTTTACTAGACATGCCCCTACTCGCGGTATAGTGAGTAGGGGCAAAATTTACTAATACCGTGGGAATTAGGGAGTTATCTACCAAGCGGCTGTCCGAAGTGACGAATTCCCGAAATGCCGAAGTTCAGAAATTCCGAAGTTCAGAAGTGTCGAAGTGCCGAAGTCCCAAAGTTGCCAAAGTTCCAAAGTGTTAAAGTGCCGAATTGCCGAAGTCCCGAATTGCGAAAGTCCCGAATTTCGGAATGCCAAACCGAACCGAAAATTTTCCCCATGCACATGCCTAGTTGTTGATACACAGAATTAACATTTGCCAATGATGCCCCAATGATGCTGACAGAGTTGAAGTTACACCTCCAGCAGTAAAGGGCTTAAACTTTAAACTTCAAATCCCTAAAGTGGTCATGGTGCTTGAAGTAACACTTTAAAGAGCTTTGTGTGATACTAGCCAAATCATTATATTTATTTTTTATGGATTCTTTTTTTTTCAGAAATTGTACAAAACAAACTGTCATAAATCATATGTCAAATTACAGACCAGGGGCGGAGCTTGACCGCCATGCGGAGAAGTCGCATGACACCGGTGCTCCTGCAAAAAGGCAAACTTTAAGCCATCCAGACCGCAAAGTGAACAAGCCAAACGGGCGACATACTTACCCGCTTCACCAAACCCACAGCAGGACCAGTTTGGCAAAGCAGGGAGTCTCCGGACACACAGGCAGGTCCGACTTGCGGCCTAGCAGTTGATGCGGGGCGGAGGACGCGGCTGGTCATCCAACCCTGAAGTCCTGCAGACGCAGACCTCTCCACCCCTTGGACTGCTGGGGGTTACCACGGTCCACCACGGCACCCACACAAGCCTGTCATCACACAAGCGGGCCCTGGTAGGATGACTGGGGCGGGAGAATGCCACAATGCTCCACACATCCAAGATGGTGGCAACCCGCATCACATGCCCCACAAGCTGCCCCACACAACAGAGCAGCAGGCGGCTGACAAGCTCTGTGCAGCGACGGAGCAGAGGAAGCAGAAGAGGTCAGTGGCAACCAACTAACGGTAACAAACAGTGGAGAGTGCCCCACGACAAGCAGCCCACTATCCCACTATCATTAAGCACCGGCACACAGAACGCAGCGGCAGCTAAAGAACAGTGAAGCACTAGGCTCCACCCAGGACCGCAAGATTCTGCCACAAGAGAGGGAGAGGGCTTGAGTGGCATCGACTGATCCAGGGTCTACAATCACCATAAGACCGTTGAAAGCTCCTTACCCAGGCGCAACCATTCACCCCCACCGGGGGTTACCTGCTGTGAAGATCATCCTGACTAATGGTGTCGTAATTTACTCATAACAATCTGTCACTCCAGACTCAAACATCCTTTATCAAGCTGGTGTGCCATCTTGGGTTTAAACCTTAGGTTTGAGCATGTTTAAGCTTATTTATTTCCCATTCTAAGCTTGCATATACAGCACTAGTATGTTCATAACTTAAAAGCGGCAAAGGCCAAGTACACTATCTCATCTAAACCTGACACTCAAAGCATGTATGTATATAATCCGGCACACAGATTAGCACAGAATCCTATTATATGCCTGTTCGAATCTTGAAATGTTTACCTACCTAACCTGTGACTTTTCTTCTTCGTTATAAAATGTAAAATGGTGCATGTACTATCAGAAACTCCTATTGTAAAGTTTGATATTACGCATGAGGAATGCCGTCGGGGTACCTCATGCTCGCCTGTTGTATTCATTTGCACTGCAAAAAATTTTTTAAAAATTACAGACTAGAGTTGAGCGAACCCGAACTGAAAAGTTCGGGTTCGTACCGAACATTAGGTTTTTTGGACCCCGGACCCGAACACGGACATATCACTGTATGTTCGGGTTGGAGTTCGGTGTTCAGCGATTTAATGGCGTATTTTCAAAGGCTGCAGGGCAGCCAATCAACAAGCGTTTGACTCGTGTGCCCTTAGAAGCCATCACAGCCATGCCTACTAATGGCATGGCTGTGATTGGCCAGTGCAGCATGTGACCCAGCCTCTATATATAAACTGGAGTCGCGTAGCGCCTCACGCACATGCGGTCTTATTAGTGTAGGGAGAGGATGTTGCCGCTGATAGAGACAGTTTAGGAAAGAATTCTGCAAACTAATACATTAGTGGGGTGGGATGCACTTCATATCTGAGAGTCAAATAGAAGCGTCAAATACTACTGTCACATTGCAGTTTTAAAACTTACAATTTTTTGGGGTCCTAAACTGCTAAATAGTATTTTAGTGGGGTGCACTTCATATCTGAGAGTCAAATCGAAGTGTCTACTAGTGTGCTTACAGCGCAGTGGTAAACATTCTTATTTTCTGGGTGCTAATCTTCTAAATAGTACATTTTGGGGCCTGTTCTTCATATCTGAGAGTCAAATCGAAGCGTCTAAGAGTGTGCTTACTGCGCACTTGTAAACATTCTAATTATTTTGCTGCTAATCTGCTAAATAGTACATTTTGGGGCCTGTTCTTCATATCTGAGAGTCAAATCGAAGCGTCTAATAGTGCGCTTACTGCGCACTTGTAAACATTCTAATTGTTTTGCTGTTAATCTGCTGCTTACATTGGAGTTTTAAAAAGTCAATTTCTTTTCGGGGGGGCTAAATGGTATATTTGGGGTGTTCACTTCATATCTGAGAGTCAAATCGAAGCGTAACTTTGATTCAAATTTAATACATTGGCAACTTGTATATTGTTTCACACCTACAACACTTGTTACACAGATCTAAGTGATAAAAAGATTGATATTTTCTACACTAGAAACTACCAGATAACAAGCTGCTATATTTAAACCAGTTATCAATAGCTAAGAGGTTCTTCAACAATATTGTAATTCTAGGGCAATATCCTCACAAGTAAAAATGAGAGGTCAGTATATAGAGGAAAACTGGTGCCTGGAGGAAATTCTAAAACAATTTCCATATGTCCTTTGCAGACTTTACATGCTGGAAAAACACAGTTGCCAACTGCTGTGGCTTTCTGCAGTGTGAATAGCGGCAAGGAGGGCAGGGTTGAGGAGTGAGTGGAAAATGATGTGTGCTAATCTGCTAAATAGTACATTTTGTGGCCTGCTCTTCATATCTGAGAGTCAAATCGAAGCGTCTAATAGTGTGCTTTCTGCGCACTTGTAAACATTCTTATTGTTTTGCTGCTAATCTGCTGCTTACATTGAAGTTTTAAAAAGTCAATGTTTTTGGGTGCTAAATAGTATATTTGGGGTGTTCACTTCATATCTGAGAGTCAAATAGAGGCGTCAAATAGTGCGCTTACTGGGCACTTGTAAACATTCTAATTGTTTTGCTACTAATCTGCTAAATAGTACATTTTGGGGCCTGTTCTTCATATCTGAAAGTCAAATCGAAGCGTCTAATAGTGTGCTTACTGCGCACTTGTAAACATTCTAATTGTTTTTCTGCTAATCTGCTAAATAATACATTTTGGGGCCTGTTCTTCATATCTGAGAGTCAAATCCAAGAGTCTAATAGTGTGCTTACTGCGCACTTGTAAACATTCTAATTGTTTTGCTGCTAATCTGCTGCTTACATTGGAGTTTTAAAAAGTCAATTTCTTTTGGGGGGGGGGGGCTAAATAGGATATTTGGGCTGTTCACTTCATATCTGAGAGTCAAATAGAAGCGTAACTGTTTCGAATTTACTACATCGGTCACTTGTAATATTGTTTCACACCTACAACACTTGTTACACAGATCTAAGTGATAAAAAGATTGATATTTTCTACACTAGAAACTACCAGATAACAAGCTGCTATATTTTAACCAGTGATCAATAGCTTAGAGATTCTTCAACAATATTGTAATTCTGGAGCAATACCCTCACAAGTCAAACTGAGAGGTCAGTTTATAGGGAAAACTGGTGCCTGGAGGAAATTCTAAAACAATTTCCATATGTCCTTTGCAGACTTTACATGCTGGAAAAACACAGGTGCCAACTGCAAGGAGGGCAGGGTTGAGAAGTGGGTGGAAAATGATGTGTGCGAATCTGCTAAATAGTACATTTTGTGGCCTGCTCTTCATATCTGAGAGTCAAATCAAAGCGTCTAATAGTGTGCTTTCTGCACACTTGTAAATATTCTAATTGTTTTGCTGCTAATCTGCTGCATATATTGTTGTTTTAAAAAGTCAATTTTTTGGGGACGCTAAATAGTATATTTGGGGTGTTCACTTCATATCTGAGTGTCAAATAGAAGCGTCAAATAGTGCGCTTACTGCGCACTTGTAAACATTCTAATTGTTTTGCTGCTAATCTGCTAAATAGTACATTTTGGGGCCTGTTCTTCATATCTGAGAGTCAAATAGAAGCGTCTAATACTGCAGTTACAGCGCAAATGTAAACATTCTAATTGTTTGGGTGCTAAACTGCTAAATAGTACATTTTGGGGCCTGTTCATATCTGAGAGTCAAATAGAAGGGTCTAATACTGCGCTTACTGCGCAGTGGTAAACATTCTAATTGTTTTGGTGCTAAACTGCTAAATAGTACATTTTGGAGCCTGCTCTTCATATCTACAAGTCATGCTACAACAAAATTAAACAAGTTTTAAAATATGTATGGGCCAACCAGTGGCTGTAAACAACAAGGTTTTACTGGTTACATTCATGACTACACACTCTAGTGAACAGGACCTTCATGTAGTGTGTTCTTTTTTTTTTAAATCATACAGCATCCTTTCAGATGTCATATTGTGAATTACCAATTTTTGTGTAGCCTGATTTATTTTTTTTAAATGTGAAAAATAAGTGTTATTGTGCTCGCTTCATATACAGAAGCATTAATATACATTTCTATATTGTGTAAAGACACAACGACAAAGTTAAAGGACCACTATAGTGCCAGGAAAACATACTCGTTTTCCTGGCACTATAGTGCCCTGAGGGTGCCCTCACCCTCAGGGACCCCCTCCCGCCCGGCTCTGGAAAGGGGAAAAGGGGTAAAACTTTGCACGCTCGGCAAGAGCTGCGGGGGCATTCAGCCGGTCGCATAGGAAAGCATTATCGATGCTTTCCTATGGACGCTGGCGTGCTCTCACTGTGAAAATCACAGTGAGAAGCACGCAAGCGCCTCTAGCGGCTGTCAATGAGGCAAGCGCCTCTAGCGGCTGTCAATGAGACAGCCGCTAGAGGCTTTGGGGGAAGGCTTAACCCATTGCTAAACATAGCAGTTTCTCTGAAACTGCTATGTTTATAAAACAATGGGTTAACCCTAGCTGGACCTGGCACCCAGACCACTTCATTAAGCTGAAGTGGTCTGAGTGCCTAGAGTGGTCCTTTAAAAACCAAACACCAAAACAACGTGCCAGACAATCTACCTGTGCATGGATAGTGTGATACAATAAGTCTACATCTTAAAAATGCAATAACCCAGAGAAGATGGGCAAGAATTTTTTTTTGCAAATGGAACTTTGATTCAAATTTACTACATCATGTAATACACCTACAACACTTGTTACACAGATCTAAGTGATAGAAAACAGATTGATATTTTCTACACTAGAAACTACCAGATAACAAGCTGCTATATTTAAACCAGTGATCAATAGGTACTTCAACAATATTGTAATTCTGGGGCAATACCCTCACAAGTCAAACTGAGAGGTCAGTTTATAGGGAAAACTGTTGCCTGGAGGAAATTCTTAAACAATTTCCATATGTCCTTTGCAGACTTTACATGCTGGAAAAACGCAGGTGCCAACTGCTGTGGCTTTCTGCAGTGTGCATATCGGCAAGGAGAGCAGGGTTGAGGAGTGGGTGGAAGATGATGTGGAGGATGATGAGGTCCTAGACCCAACATGGAATCAAGGTCATGCGAGTGACATGTGCAGTTTGGAGGCGCTGTGGCACAGAGGCACCAGCACAGCATAGGAGGGAGCAGGGAGCAGGGTGCAAAAGCGCAGCGGTCGCCCCCTAGCGCTCGTCGGCATGTATTAGCTCGAGAATTACCAGTTATCCAAGTAATACATGTAGCAATCAAAGGATCCATAATAGACTTGAGCGAACCCGAACTGCAAAGTTCGGGTTCGTACCAGATTTAACAATCCTTTCGTAGTTTCACAGTGAGGTGGGCAGTCCAGTGACCAGGACCCAGACATTGTCAGCATGTGACATTCACTGTAGCTGCTGCCAACGCTTTTGGTGTTGTCACCCTGTAACTTTGGCCTTCCCGCTCACCGCCTCATGAGACTTTGCGAGCAGCAGCAGGCGATAGTGGAGTTTCAGCTGCAGCACGCACGGGTCAGTGGCTCTGCACCAGACTTCCCTCCAATTGATCAGAGTTAAAGAATTTCAAGTGGACTCATTACAATTACAGGGCCTCTAAAGAGACCTGTATTATTTGTCGTCACTACCTTCCCGCGTCGGGAGTGGGTCATTTGCGCGCCTGCTGCCTTCCTTGCATGTGGAAGCTGTTTCTCAGGGTCCCTGTATGGAATGGAACCCTGATTCCCCGTTACCTGTGGTCACCATGGTAGGCGCAGAAACGGCATCAAAAGTTGACATCCGCATGCAAAGTCGCCACCACGGGGATGTGCGATTTGCCCGAGAGTCAACAAAGTTCCTGCGCAACTATAATGTCAACAGCTACTCTGCGGAACAGAGTTGTCTTTTTTTATGTGTCCCAATATTTTGGGGGCTAACCCCAATTTAAAAAAAATAATGTGTTGGCTACCTCATCCTCCTCCTCCACCGCCACGGTCACCGCCTCCTGAACTTATGGGTCACTTAGTAAAAACTAGGTACACATTAGCAGAGACTTGTGAAGGCCTTTTCTCTATGCATCAGGACTGCAAGAAATGCACCGCAGGCCGCAAATTTGTATGTCCCAATATTTTGTGGGCTACCACATTTAAAAAAAAATAACATAAAATATAGTGTTGGCTACCTCATCCTCCACCGCCACAGTCACCACCTCCTCAACCTATGTGCACAATAGCAGAGGCTTGTGAAGGCCTTTTCTCAATGCATCAGAAGTTGAGCTCAGTTTGAACAATGAAATAGAATACCCTGCACTCCAACCCTCTCTCAAATGGATAATTCTGTTGATCCTCCTGACAGCCATGCTTTAGATTTTGATTTATGTTTTTCCAAAGCTAAATTCAAAGATTCCATCTAGTGCTATTTTATGGCTCAGCTGTATTTATATTTTTTATGTTATTTTAAGTGATTTCTCTATCCACATTTGTTTGCAGGGCACTTGTCCTACTCTTACCCCCATTTTACTTCCTTTTGCAGATCTCTAAACCCTTCCCAGGAGTTTTTTAGAGGCATTTTTGTGACCAAAAATTGACTTCAATGGGGTTCGGGTTCGGGGTCAAGTTCAGGGTCAAGTTCGAGCCCGAACCCGAACTTTTTTTCACTTCCTGCTTAATAGCACAGAAAACCTGTGCTAGAGCATCGCTGGACGTCCTCACGCTGTGTAAGGACTTACAGTGTCGCTCAATTCCCCATAGGAAAGCATTGAAAAGCATTTTCAATGCTTTCCTATGGGGAGCTCTAATGGCCATGCACGGCTTTGCCGCGCATGCACATTAGTTCTCCCCGGCCGATGGGCGGGATCAGTCTCGCCCACTGGCCGACGTAAAGCAGAAGAGGAGCGACGGCGGAGGAAGAAACAGCGACATGGAACATGTCGCTGTCTCTGGTAAGTGACTGAAGGGGTTTTCACGCCTTCAGCAACCGGGGATTGGGAGGTGTGAGGGAGAGAGGACCTGCAATACCAGGAAAACAGATTGTTTTCCTGGCACTGGAGAGTGCCTTTAATGTCTGTGGTTAGAAATTAGTTAAAGTAAGTTAATAGTGAAAAATAGTTTTCAGTTGAGAAGAGCTCTTTTTTTTGGCACATTAAATATGGCAATCCCACATAAGGACAATGGTGTATCCTGGTTTTGTGCTGCCCTAGGAATGACAAAACTCACACGCCCCCCATGCCCCCCTTCCACCATGCCCCCCTTCCCCACCTTCTAAATACACACACACACAAATTAACTGACAGACACATATACACTGGCTAACAGACACGCATACACACTCACTAACAGACACACACAAACACACACACTCACTAACAGACACACTCACACACACACTAACAGACACACACAATCATTCTAACAGACACACACACTCATTCTAACAGACACACACACACACTCTAACAGACACACACACACACACACACACACACACTCTAACACTCTCACATTTATTTTTTAAAATTCAATCCCCCCAGCCTCCTTACCTTTGGGAATGCTGGGCGGGGGAGGTTATCATTACAGTATAAACTGACAATTGATTGCTATTAGTACCTTTATTGGCATTGAGTAAAATATGTATAAAAATAACCACTTGAACAGTGTATGTCATCAATTCTCTGAAGAAGTGGGGCTGACACCCACGAAACGCGTAAGACCAAGACCACCCAGATCTAACAGGATACAGACACGGATGAGAGATCAGCAGGAGATCCACGTATCCAGTGACCTCTGACACCCCTGGACCGTAGCAGTGTTCGCCGCTCAGAGTGAGGTCTGCAGCTGAGAGTGAGGTCTGCAAGCCATCCTCACAGGCAGCAGGTTCCCAGAGGGCTTACATCTACAACAGAATCCAAATCCATCCTAGCCGGATTCGCAGGTTTACTGTTACTTTTTATCTCCACTTTGCTGACCACATTCTTGTGAACTGTTCCAGATTGTTATTTTATTACTTTTTTGATTTTTATGTTCAATAAACTGGCTTTTATTCATCCAGTTATATCATCTGTTCTGTTCAAGTGGTTCTAAGTAATTTTAAGCAGTATATGTACTGCATTTTAGTAGACAGTTCCATATACTGTTTTACTACTATTTTTTCTCACATCTTTATTACAAAGTATATTATTTGGTGACTGTCTCAATAATCCTGCACTATTACAGAGATCAGGGTACCTACACCACATATAACTGTTGCATTTTATATTCCACTCAGCAGATTTGTACACATTTTTTAATGCTCCATTGCTATGCGCAGCGTTGCGCGGTGGGTGTGGGGTGCTTCCCCCGCTTTAGGATTGTCGGGTAGCCGGTTTTCTGCTACCTTGTGTCCGAGGTCCTGTGGAGTCTTGGGTTTTCCCGGGGGGGAGGGATGGTGCTGTGGACACCGTGAGTTGACAGTGGGTTGCGCCGTTTGCCCTCTGCAGCCCTCTTGTTATGTGGCTGAGGTGTTTGGTGTGGTGTGTGGCTGCATAGGTTCCCACTCTGGTGTTTCAGCTGGTGCTTTCGCCGATGTGGGTGGCATGTTTAGTTCCCACCCCGTGTGGCTCTGGGCCCAGTTTGGGGCCCTCTCAGCTACACCCTGGTCTGTTGCTCTTTAGGGCAAGAAGCTCTGTTTGGTTGTCATGTTACATAGTTAGTTACATAGTTACATAGCTGAAAAGAGACTTGCGTCCATCAAGTTCAGCCTACCTCACATTTGTTTTTTGCTGTTGATCCAAAAGAAGGCAAAAAAACCCAGTTTGAAGCACAATTTTGCAACAAGCTAGGAAAAAAATTCCTTCTTGACCACAGAATGGCAGTCAGATTTATCCTTGGATCAAGCAGTTATTACCCTACATTGAAAGATTATATCCTTGAATATTCTGTTTTTGCAAGTATGCATCTAGTAGCTGTTTGAACATCTGTATGGACTCTGATAAAACCACTTCTTCAGGCAGAGAATTCCACATCCTGATTGTTCTTACAGTAAAAAAAACCTTTCCTTTGCCTTAGACAAAATCTTCTTTCTTCCAGTCTAAGCGCATGGCCTCGTGTCCTATGTAAAGTCCGGTTTGTGAATAGATTTCCATACAATGGTTTGTATTGGCCACGAATATATTTGTATAATGTTATCATATCCCCTCTCAGGCGACGTTTTTCTAAACTAAATAGGTTTAAATTTGTTAACCTTTCTTCATAGCCGATATGTTCCATTCCTTTTTATTAATTTTGTAGCCCGCCTCTGCACTTTTTCTAGTGCCATAATATCCTTCTTTAGAACAGGTGCCCAAAATTGCACAGCATATTCAATATAGGGTCTTACCAGTGATTTATAAAGAGGCAAAATTATATTCTTGTCCCGAGAATGAATGCCCTTTTTCATGCATGACAATACCTTACTGGCCTTGGCCACTGCTGATTGACATTGCACATTGTGGGTGTTGTGGGTGAGTTAGCTGTGGTGCCGCCCGTTGGTGATTTTAAAGGCTGGTGTTTGACCTCCAGGCTAGCCCAGAATCACCTGCATATGGCCTCAATTCTCGTTTGAAAGTCAATTGCCCATTCGCTGGGGGTAAGTCGTTTTGTGCAGATGTCTGTGGTTTGGCCTCTTGTCTCTTGTTTGCCAGCAGTCTGTATGTGAGTACCTGCTTGCATCTGGCCCCCAGGCTGTGCTCGTGTCGATGAGGTTCGTTGGGGTGCAGCCGCCATCTTGAGAGGCCCACCATCCCCATACCTTTGACGCGGTAAGCCAGCTGGGGCCCGCTTTGATGTCTGCTGCGGGGCGTAGGGGACCGGTCTATAGGGGGGAACGGGGTCCCATGCCGAGAGGAGTTGCGCACTGTGACCGAGGGAGGGCGGCCGTCTCTCCTGCGATATCCTTGTGCGCCTTGCCTCAGGTTAGGCTGCAGGGCCTATTCGATGTGTGCCCTTTCGGGAGCGGACCGGCCCCCGGGTCTCGGAGTGTTATTTTCTGGCAGGGAGATTGTCGTTTAGGTGATGTTTATCGGCCGCAATGTCGGAGCAATGTCGGAGCTGTGAGTATGCACGTCCGGCCATCTTGATTGCCAGACCCGTCCCCTGCGGTTTCAGTTTTTTAAATAGGTAAGTCCCTAATTTTATATACTCATGAAACAAATGGATCCAAAATACTTTGTTTGATTCACTGTGAGTTAGTTAATTTTCGTTATTTTTAGTTCCAAATTGTGTTCATATTACTGTAGATATGGCTTACCATTTATTTATTTATTTATAGTATTTAATGCTTAATCATTTGTGTATATATTGGTTTAGAAACATAGAATGTGACGGTAGATAAGAACCATTCGGCCCATCTAGTCTGCCCAATTTTCTAAATACTTTCATTAGTCCCCAGCCTTATCTTATAGTTAGGATAGCCTTATGCCTACCCCATGCATGCTTAAACTCCCTCACAGTGTTAACCTCTACCACTTCAGCTTGAAGGCTATGCCATGCATCCACTACCCTCTCAGTAAAGTAATACTTCCTGATATTATTTTTAAACCTTTGCCCCTCTAATTTAAGACTATGTCTTCTTGTTGTGGTAGTTTTTGTTCTTTTAAATATAGTATCCTCCTTTACTGTGTTGATTCCCTTTATGTATTTAAATGTTTCTATCCTATCCACCCATCTTGTCTTTCCTCCAAGCTATACATAGTTTAGTCACTAAAGAGTGAACTGGTGAATGCAAGCCAAACTGAAAACATAGCTGACTTGGAGCTATTTTGAACTAACAATTGATATTTACAGGTGGTCCTCATTTTACTAACCTACCTGTATTTACGACCAGCTCTTCAGCGTGTGGGTAAGTGCGAGCCACAGTGGGGATTAGAGGGATTCCCTGCTCTGCTGCGTTTGTCTGTGTTCTGGGAAATTTCCCTGCACATAGACAAATGCAGCAGAGCAGTGAATCCCTCAAATCTATGTTCGGGGATATTTCGAACATAAATAAGAGGGATTCCCTGCTCTGGTGCGCTTGTCTATGTTCGGGGAGCAGGGAATCCCTCAAATTACCGACTGGGTAATTTCTCAGAACATAGATTACAGGGATTCCCTGCTCTGGTGCGTTTGTCTATGTTTGGTGTCTATATCCCTGAACCTACACAATTCACCAGAGCAGGGAATCCCTCAACTCCTCACTTACCAACCAATTTGTTTTATGACCGGGTCGTGAGAACAGAACACAGTCGGTAAACGAGGAGTATCTTTACTTGAGTTCACTGTGAATTTTAAATTTCAGACTATAGTTAATTAAAAGGGATAACATAATCATCAGAACCACTACAGCTTAATGTAGTTGTTCTGATCTCGATAGCATGTCCCTACAGTGTTATCACTGTAACCACTGCATTTTCAGAGAAAAAGCAGTGTTTTACATTGCTAGCTATAACAACTGTATAACAACTGTCACTCAGAAGGCCGCTAGAGGTGCTTCCTAGTTCAGTGCTGCACAGCACTAGCATTCTGCGTCTCCACGCTCTGCATTGGATCGGTTGAAATCATCAAGATTGATGAACTGCAGAGGTGGGGAAATCTGGGTCGAGACCGGCATGGCGTGGGAGAAAAGGTGAGTAAAATCACCTTTTTACTTCACAGAGAGGTGGGCCAGTAACCTAAACAGTCACTTCAGCATTAGTTTCAGGAATACATGTTTGTACTGATACTATAGTGTTCTTTAACCTGGTCTGAGCTGAAACATTAAGCAGTGGAAGAAGAATTAATTTTAAACATTTGTTAAATATTATGTCTTACCAATACTGTTCCGTGGTGATAATCTTGGTATAACCTCTGTTATTTGTACCTGGACACTACCTCGATGTCCATCACTTAGAAGTTCCACTTGGGTGGGTTGCTTTAGTAGGTCAGTCAGAGTTCTGAAAAAAAGATAATTATGTCTACTATATTTAATATAGACAAGAGTTCAAGAAATGAAAACGGGTATCTGTATTTCAATGAGGACAATCCTGAAACTGTAAAATTACATTTTCATACCTTATTGTGAAAAATATTTCTGAGATTGCAACTTACTAACATTATTCTAACATGTCTGACATGCCTTACAAGCAATGTGCATGTAGAAAACACAAAAGTAAAATACCATAAACTTTGAAAGAAATTGGTGCTAAAATGACTGTATAGAAGGTTCAAAATATACTATATGACATATTATGCCTTTATAGGGTAATTTAAACTGTCAAACTGCTATAATGCCCCACAATTAGGAATAGCATCAAATTAACCTATCAAAATTCTAACTGTAAAAACTGAAATATTCAGGTGTCTTACATGGCACTGTAACTTCACAAGATAGTGCCAAAGGTATTGTTCTATTTAGAAAAGTTTGAGCATAATGTGGGTTTAATCACAGTGTCACATATCGGATTTAAAAAAATCGCCACTTAAATTTAATGTGCATTGTAAAAAAGGCAAAATAAAAAATTGAGGAGATGCTGATCGGCCAGGGTGGTAGGAATACAAGTTTCCTTCAATATAAACTCATGGAAAATTACTACTGTTAGCCCTTTAGTAAGTCCAGTCTCAAGTCTCAAATCCATTTTGGCTTGCTAGTAACATTACAGAAGGAACCTCAAAGAGTAGATGCATAAAAAACTACTTTAGCAAAATATGGCAAAATAAAAATTCTACCACATACAAACCAAACGAATTTAATAAACCACAAAATATAGACATGTCAATAAAAAATTAGGGTGTCTGGGTCATGGTAGGAGCTGAGGTTCTGTTAATAAATGAATTGTAAATATTACAGTAAGGTGGCTTTGACAAGCCAATTGCTAACTCAGAGGACACTAAACACAAAGCAGACAGGATGTAGAACAGCGTGTGCCTCGGGCAAAAACAATCAATGTAGATCTCAGGAAAAAAATAATCAATCACATTGCTTTGGCTTGAACTGGACCTCTTCTAGATCATGTGAGTAGGCACTGGATTGGATCTTACATATGTTGGTTCATCTTTCAAAATGCAAAAATGGATGACATTATATCAGAACAGCATTTAATACATATACATACTTAACAGTAGGAATGACTGCATAAAATTAATAATAGAACAATTTAATAAAATCTTGACACAGATGCAGATATGATGAAGTACCAATATGTACCTTAAAGAATATAACAAAAAGTTTGTCACAAACAGGCAAAAATTAACACACACATAGCAGTTATAAAACACCTTACAACCAAACAACAATTAAGGTTATAAAGGGCAAAAAGCTTATAATAATGTCAAGCACTAGCTAAGTCAGAAAAAGTTAAATCATAATAAGGGTTTGCACAAAGATGATGAAAATGATCTGTCATGGTACAAACTAGCTAATATATACTCACTTACCACCAGAAACTGCTGTGTTTTTTGGGTCCTTGAAAGTAATACTTCAATGTATTTTTGTTTCAGTATTCATAGGAAACATTATTTCATTTAAGCAAAAATTTATATTTTGTTGAAAAAGAATACATTTAAAAATATATATGTCTGTGATTATCAAACGTGTTTATATTTAAAAATGTGCGCACATCATATTAAGAATATAAGCCATGCAACTATCCTGCTAGTAAAAACCAGTGTAGCTATATCGGTGATAAGCATTCTGTTAACGTTGGCACACTTATGAACCACCTGGACTCTCCCACTACCTAACCGCTAGCCCGAACACCCATTCATTACTTACATAAAGTTTTTCTCGTTATAATTTACTATTACTAACAATGTTCAGGGCTGCTATATCTGTATATCTATATTTGTATTGACTATGTAGGTTTGTTTTGCTGTTGTGGCATCACAGACCAGTTTGTAATTCACTGCACGAAAAATAAAGAATTAAAAAATATATATGTAATTGATCCTTTAATGAAGTTACAGATAAAGAAAATATTGGATATATTTGTTTCTAAATATTTAACACGTGGACATACACTGTTACATGCAGGACTGTTGGGGCTTCTAACACAGCTCAAGGATTGGACTCCAGAGGCTCGCCCTCAAGTCTGCCAATTGGGCCCATTCCTGGACCTGCCCACAGGGATAAGTAAAGTAGATGCACTGTGTGTTTATAGTGGAAGTAAGGTGTGTGTGTGAAGGTGCATAGTGGATTCAGAGTGTGTTTATGTGTATAGTGTATGGAGAGAATGTGTGTAGTTGATGCAGAGTTTGTATTTGATGCAGTGTTTGTGTAGTGGATGTAGTTTGTGTTCGTGTAGCAGAAACCGTGTCTAGTGAATATAGTGTGTGTTTGTGTAGTGAATGCAGTGTGTGTTTGTTCAGTGTACTAACTTGTAATGTAAGGTTGTTCCAAGGGCCTGGTTTCTTTCATGATCAACTTTGGTAATGTGCGTGAGGTGGTCATACCTAGACATTATTGTTCAGTGATTGCAGTGTGTGTAGTGGATGCAGCTTCTGTTTTTGTGTAGTGGATGCAGTGTGTGTAGTGAGTGCAATGTCTGTGTTTTGTACTGAACGCATTGTGATAGTTTATTCTGTTGGATAATGCAGACCTCCCGACATGTAGAAATGTATTTCAGGGAGGTGGCTTCACCAGCTACTTGGCCAACCTCCCCCGCCCCACCCTCAAACACACATACGCAAAGCCCCCAAACATGTATGAACACTTTGACACATACCTATGTACAGACACGCACACTGGTGCTTACACTCACACCCTCAGATACACACCGTCACACAGATACACACATTGAAACACACACTTCAATACATACACTGGCACACACTGCTAAAAAACTCACTGACACACAGATACACACACTTAGATTCACACACTGGCACATACAGTTAGATACATATACTGACATACAGGTACACACTGGTACATACACAGAGATACATTCACTAGAACACAAATGCACACTCAGATACACACTGATACGCAGATAAACACACTGACACAGATACACACACTGGTGCATATACTCAGATACACACATCGACATACAGATACACACTGGCACATACACACACTCAGATACACATATTGGTACATACACACACACTCAGATACACTGACATACACGCTCAGATGCACACTGACACACACTGGCACACAGATACACACTGGCACATACACACACTCGGATACACACTGACACAATCTGACACACACAAACACATACATGTCATACTTTATATATTTGCAGCCACCCTCCTGTTAGCTTACCTTATGTGTCCAGGAGGGTAGCTTGCATGGGGTACTGGTGGTGGCTGAGGCTGATGGGAGTGAGCATGCAGCAGCAACTCACTCCAACAGCTCACTCCAGCCTCTTCTCTTCCTCCATGTTCCCTGTACAGCCGCTGTTTTTAGCCTTCTCCCTTCATGTCTCCTGGCTGCGATCTGTAAAGCAGAGCTGATATCACAGGGGCCCGGTTGGCTCATAAAGGGCCACAGTGTGTGTGGGTCACTGTATCTGTGTGTGGGTCACTGTGTGGGGGGATCACTGGGTGTGGGGGGTCACTTGTGTGTGGGGGGCGCCACTGTGTGTGTATATGGGTCACTGTGTGTGTGTGAGTGCATGTGGGTCACTGTGTGTATGTGTGAGTCGCTGTGTGGGGTCACACACAGAATCACTGTGTGTGTGAGTCACTGTGTGCATGTGGTTCACTGTGTATATGTATGGATCACTGTGTGTCGGGGTCACTGAGTATATGTGCATGTATGTGTCACTGTGTGTGCAGGCAGAGCCGGCCTGTCCATTGGCCCAGGTGGATTTCTGTTATCTACTACTCTAGTTAGTTTTTTGAATTTTATCAGTTTACTGTTTAGTAACCAGTGCCACCCTTTTACATTGGGGGAAGCACTTTTCCTGGATATCCCTTCAGCTAAACTACGAGTTTCAATATCACAGCTCTCTCACAAGTTATTTTCTGGTACTTTAGGATCTAGTATCCTTACTTTCTATATCTTTCAAGCCAATATGGGGGCTTTTCTATACAAATTTTTATTGTGCCGCCCTAGGCAAAAGAAAAATTAGCGCCCCCCCCCCCAATGTGACATCACAATGCCCCGCCCATACGATCTGCCATATAAACTAACGCCAGTGCTGCACACAATGTGTGTTTACATTAAAAAGCCTGCAGGGACAAACTATATACACCAAACCCACTTCATTAAACTGCAATGGTTCTGGGGACTATAGTGTTCCTTTAATGTGTCACTAATAATATACTAGATTGCCTACTTACAACCAGATGAGGATGGTGATAGGTTCTAGCATAGTTTGGCTCTACTGGTCTGGTGTAGAACAGGATCTCTGGAGGCTGTTTGTAACTGTGGTTACAAAATTCAATGTATTGGGGGGATGGGAAGCAGCTCCATTTTTTGGGGTCCCTTACACAGCTCAAGGTCTGGGCCCCAGGGCCTGACGATGAGTGCATACCCATAAGGCCCACCCATAAATCCACCTACATGTTCCACCCATGAGTTCGCTCACAGGGAGTGGAGTGTGTAGGGGATGTGTTATATGTTATTGTAGAGGATCTAATGTGTGTGCTTATGGAATGTAGTGTATAGGGATACCAGTTTGTGTAGGTGATTAGTGGAAGCATGGTGTTTTTGTGTAAGGGATAGAAAGCAGTGTGTGTTTGTGTATAAGGGATGTATTGTGTGAATCTGTGTTTGTATGCATAAGGGATGCAAGGTGTGTTTCTGTGTATGTAAGAGATGCAGTGTGTGTTTGCATGTGTGTGTAAAGGATGCATTGTGTGTTTCTGTGTATGTGTGCAAAGGATGCATTGTCTTTATGTGTAAGGGTTGCATTTTGTGTATGTAATGGGTGCATTGTATGTTTCTCTGTGTGTAAGGGAAGCATCTTGTGTTTCTGTGTGTGTAAGGGATGCATTGTGT